AAAAAAAAAAAAAAAAAAAAAAAAGGTTGACTTTTCCAAACCTCCTCATTTGTGAAATATCTGCAATGTAGCTATGGTGATGTTGAAACAAAGAATCTTTAAAATACAACATTTCATATATGTTGCATGATAACCATATGTCAGGAACCAGATAAGACATTTATATATAGCATTATCTCCTTCAGTCTTCAAGACAATCCTCCTAGATAGGCATTAATATCCTCATTTTACAAACAATTAGGAATATAGTTAGAAAGACTAAGTTACAGATGCATTAAGCTAGTATAACTCTAAAGTCTAAGTTCTTAGATACATATAAGTACTCTCTTCTCTTTTTTCTGTATCTCTAGATAAATAACTAACAGTATTAGAAGGAAAAAAAAGATAAGTTATGAACTGAACCACAAGCAAATTCATCCATTTTCACTAATGTATAACTGTTGTCAGGATAAATTAATATAATTCTTTAGAAAATAATTTGATTTTCAGACTGGCCGGTTAACTCAGTTGGTTAGAGCATGGTGCTGATAATGCCAAGGTCCAGAGTTTGATCCTTATACTGGCCAAATAATAATAATAATGATAATGATGATGATGATGATGATAATTTGATTTTATATCAGATGTAAAATGTTAATCTTTAATTCTAAAAATGTATCTTAAGGAAGTAATTTAAAAGGAGAAACAAATAAAATGCTAAATACTTCATATTATGACAGCATAAAATTAGAAAGAAGAGACAATGCAGGAATGATGAAGAAAAACAAGGCTACAGTTTGTATATTTTTACCATGAGGGCACTAAAAATGATAAAAAAGAATTATAGAAACGTGGAAAAAATACTTATGATAAAACAGAAAGTGAATAAAGAATACAAAATGTTTCCCCTGCTACAATTACACCCAGAGAAATGTGTATACAGAGCCAAGCACTAAAAATGGAATGCAGAAAAGTGAAAATGTGTGGAGCCGAGGCGTTCAGATTTGAGCTGAGTCACTTTGTTCTGCCATCCTTAGTTTCCCACTTGTAAAAGGGAGAGTTACCATGGGGCTGTAAGAGGCAAGGGGACTGCCTACACCAGGTAATTAGAGTATTTTTAAAGTAACTTTACACCTTAAACCTGGATCTCCTATGTCTATGACTCCTGTATTTTAATCTGTAACTATGTGGTAAAAGTCAGCAGACTCACAAGTCCTCTTACCCTTGTTACTCTGTCTTTTTTCTCCTTGCCATCTTTTTTAGATAGTTCCTTCTTGCTACTTGACTTTCCTTGACTGGTGGGTTTCTTTTCCTTGCTCTCTTCTTCCTTAGGTGACCCAGGGTCCTGGGGCACATAGACTTCTTGCTGTGATACAGTTGAAAACAGTTAAGACTAAAGAATGTTTCACTTTCTCAGCAATTTCAGTTCTAAGGAGCACAATTCCCCTTCCAGAGGAAATAACAGCTCTTTTACTCACAAACCTGAGTCAATGCAGGGGCTAGGACACATCCAAACCACCCACTGTCCATTTTACCAAGAGGAGCACTATTCTTACCTGTAATGCCACAAGGCACTGACTTTCTATATAGACAATAGCTCATTTTCCATTGATTTAAACCTTTCCACTTTTCATGCAATGAAAATCCAGAGAATCCAGGGAATAAAATGCTCAAAGTAATAAATTATGGGTACTTTTCTCAAAAGGACCACTGACAGAGTAAACAGACCCAAAAACTCACCTGGGTATTGGGGTCATAATAAGTTCCCGCCAAGGGGTCATAATAGTAGCCAGTAGCGGAATCATATATGTAGCAGTCAGATGATGCTAGAGGGGATAAAACCAGAGCCAATTTTAATCCCTGTCCAATGAAGCCCTTACTGGAAACTCAACAAGAACAACTCAAGAATTGGGGTGGCCAACCCAAAGAGGTGCAGAATATGTAGATGGTGCTCTTTCTGGATGTTGACCCCAGTCAACAGTATCTGTTACCAACTTTGCGACCACATAGATTTCAAGTAATAAGTAGCAAGTCAAACAAAAAAGAATAGAAATTTAAAAAGCTCACTTACACTGTTGTCCTTGTCGATTTGTATCTGAAGACCAGTCGGAATTTCTGCTACCTCCCCTCCTATCTCGGAAATATTTTTTACCCTATAATGGAAAGGCAAGTTAAAATCATAGAACTATCCAACAGCCATTTAATCTTAATGGTCACCCACTGGAAAAAATTCAAGATCACCCTTTCAGTCATCTGAAGATTTTAACAGAGCACTTCCACCTGTTAAAGCCTACCTGATAGTAATGCATATGGTCAGAGTGGTCCCCAGAATCATTTCTGCAACAAACAACACAACACGTCATGAGCTTGCTACCAAATGGCACTTAAGGAGTGCCTAATCCTACAGAGTCACTGCAAAACTCTCTCTTCCCCATTTTGCAGGGGAAGGAATCAACCCAGGCAGCAGGCAGGCTGGGTGGTCCAGAAACTCCTGAAGGGGAGGAGCTGTAGGACTCCTACAAAGTCATCTGCTGCAGTAAAGCAGTGATTGAGTAGGGGGTGCTAGAGAAAGATCTGCTCCATCTCCATAAGCCTGTCTCTTTGATTCAGCTGCTTCCCAGTTACCACTCCTGGGTCAAGATGAGTGAAGAAATAGAGGAATTAAATTTCCCAGTGCTAGTGGGAAGTCAGGACAACATTTTCTTTGGACTTCAAGGGGCAGGGAAGCATTGAGATTTTTCTGCATATCCAAACTGTACCATCATTTTTGGAACCAAAGATATCAGGCCATCAAAAGAGAAATGACTAAAGTACCTAGTACTACTATTTAAGAAAGAAAACTATTCTACAGTTGGAACAAGGCAGGCTTCAAAAAAAGAAACCGTATAAGCACGTATTGGAAGCAGCTCATGCCAGGAAGACATTGTGCCTTACTATCTGTCTCTCCTGCCAGAAAGAATAGTTTCCTCCCAAAAACTTAAGTGGGGCAGGACAGGGATACTCACCCCTGTGTCTTACCTTCGTTTTCCAGTGGCCAGGTTTACAGCTACCATCTTCCCCTCAATGCTAAATGGTGGATCAAGGTTCTGCAAGATCTTCACTACACGAAGAGCTTCCTAGGAAACCAAAGACACATTTGAACCCAAAGAGAGAAAAGTTCATGTCCTTTGAAAGAGAACTGATCATGGATTTTTATTCTAAAAAGAAATTTACTAAACATTATATTCTAGTCATAATTTTAACAGTAAGAGCACACTGGTAAAAACTGGCAGTTCTTAATGAAAGACTAATCAGCACAGTGATAAGTCCATCAGTTTCCAGTATAAATTTCAGAAATTCAAATACTCTTCTTTTAGGCTGAACTGTCATCACAACAGACACAGTTTACCAAGTCCCATTTATTTTTGGGCATGAAATTTCATACCAATGATTGTCATTACTATCTTCAGATTATTTCCATAGAAAAGGGCCAAGACAAAATTTAAGCCATAAGAATCTATTAAATACTTTGAGGAATAAGAGGGAATTGTCCTGTAATCATCAAATATGAAACCATCTATGGTTGGGCAAAACAAGTCTAAGAAATTAGAAAATTCACTAAAATCTAAAGGTTTCAATATTCAGATTCTTCTCAAGTGTGTAAGTTGGAAATTATAAATGCCACAAGACAAAAATGGATCTGGAAAACCTCCCAGTTCTAACTTTCAAGGGCAGTCAGTTCACCTGAATGAATATTAAACCCAAAGGAGTGAACAAGATGGGTTATGATACCAGGTAGTACATGAATATTCAAATGATAAACAAGTCCCTCAAACCTTCTTGAAGGTTCTTTAGACATGAGTCCCTAGCCCATTCCAAGGTGGGGGAAACTCACTGCATGGGAGTCGAGGTCAATAAAGCCATAGGTGTGGCCCATAGGGCCAGTTCTGTTCTTGATGATACGGACGTTGGCAGTAGTAAGGTGGACATAGGGCTCCAGCACTTCCACGATCACCTCAGGGGGAGTGGAACGATAGATGCGTTTCAGCATGATTGCTGAATGAACCAAGCACAAATGGGAGAGGTGCAAGGAAAGAGAGAAAAATGAATTTTTGAATTCCCAAGAGCCTGACTGTCATTTTTATTGCAGATGCTACTCTGCTCTAGCAGACTGGTTCTATAAAGAAACGCTAGACAAATACTTCATAATTTTCTTCACCAATACTTAGAAATCTAAAATCATGCCTTACTGCATTTGTATAACAATTCATTATATGGATGATGTAGATTCCTTTAACTAGTACATCAAGGCCCACAGGAAGCAATGGCCTCTGTAATCAGGCTGTGTACAGTTCTACTAGGTTATGGGGAAACAGCTGCCTCTTAGCCACAGCATGGGACACCTATGCTCATCTGTGGTGGGCACAGTCTGTTGTATAACCTGACAAACCACTTACTTTTGCTCTCCCCATCTTGGCGTGTCTCTCCAGACCATGGCTCCTTCTCTCGATCTCTTCGAAAAGTGAGTCCTTCCCTTCGAGAAGAAGGCAGGTACCTTTCTGATTCTCTCTTTTGATGTCCCAAGCGTGGTTCTTGTCCTTCTTCACGCTTCCTGGGCTCAGGTTCCTTATCACCTGGCCTTGGGGGCTGGTTGGGTTGTTTTTCTGATGGTGCCAGTATGGATATTTTCTGAGGCTGAGGGTAGGTTATTAATTCTTGCTTGGCCTCTGTCACTAAGGGAACAGAAACAGAGAATCCCTAGAAAGCTTTATCAAAAACACTGCTAAAGTGATTCTTCCTTATTTGCCACCAAATACTCATACTAGAATGAATGTTTTTAATATTGTGTAAGAAATACCTACAAAAAGTCCTCTGACAGTTCCTGGCAAAAGACTTTAAGCAGAATAATGAGACAGCACATTAAATAGTTCACAGAAGAAACTATCCAAGCATTTAAAATTTTTAATCTTATAGCTTTCTGTCATGTACCAAACATTTAAATACAGCAAATCCTTCATGACACCCTGGACTTGACTATTATAACCAATGAT